TTCTATCCATGAACATAGGCTATTGCTCCATCTATTTAGCTCCTTTTTAATGACTTCCTGTAAAGTTTTACAAATTTCTGCATATAAGTCTTACAAATTTTATTCCACTTGTTTGATATTTTCTTTTGTTGATATTGTAAATGATGTCCTTTTAAATAATACTTGTTAACTGTTTCAAATATAACTGGTTTTGTATATTGTTCATATATTCAAGCACTGTAAGTACACCTATTTTTTAAAAACTATGGTAAAACATATACATAACATAAAATTAAGCATTTTAACCATTTTAAGTGTACATTTTAAGGATATTGCCAACATCCATATCCAAAACTTTTTCATCTTCTCAAAATGAAACTCCATATCCATTAAACGATAACTCCCAAATCCATTTCTCCCCATCCCTGACAACCACCAATCTTGACTCTGTCTGTATGAATTTAATTACTCTAAGTACCTCATATAAGTGGAATTACGGGACTTATACAGTATTTGTTCTTTTGTGTCTGGCTTATTTCACTTAGCATATTGTCTGAAGGTTTATCCACGGTGCACCATGTCTCAGAATTTCATTGCTTTTTAAGGCAGATGAATATTCCATTGTATGTATATACTACATTTTATGTATTCATTCATCCAATGATAGATGTTTGGGTTGTTTCTATCTTTTGACTACTGTGAATAATTCTGTTATAAACATTAAAACATATACAACATCAATTGTATATTGAATAAAACAGTGAAATTGGGCATCCTTTTCCTTCATGTTAAAGAAAATGCTCCTAATTATTTTCCATATATAGAACGTTGTAGTCGTTTAGTACCTTCCCTTTATCGGTTAAAAACAAAACAAAACCATCGCAAACCTTTCCAACTGTATCCTCTTGAACTCATGGTCCATCCTCTGCAAAACTCCTATCCTTAATCTTTTCTCCAAGTATTCCCTTTCTTTTCTTATAAACCTTGTAACATGCCTGGAGGTAGGTCAGGTGTAATCTTTGCTCCTTGCTCTTCACAATTTCTTCCAGCTCATTATCTCACCCTGCTCCCTAAAATCCTCTAGCCTCTATGAAGTTGAAAGTACTAGGATCAGTGTTGTCCAGTAGAATTTTGTGATGGTGAAAATCTATGCCTGTGCAGTCCAATATGATAGCCACTAGCTGTCACATGTGACTACTGAGCACCTGCAATGTGGCTAGTATGATCAAAGAACTAAATTTTTAATTTTATTTAATTTTAATGAATTAAATTTAATAGCCACATGCGGCTAATGGCTACCATATTAAACAAGAGAACCCTAGATTACAACTGTCATTTACAGATCTACAAGTCACTCTTCCCCTGTTATCTTGAAGATTTTAGTAGTTGGAGAAAAAAAATTCATGAACCAAAACTATTCTTATCATAAATCTTGGTGATTGCCCCCTTCATGGGGATAACACTCCCAATACTCTTGCTTCTCAGTTTCTTGACTTCTCCTGCTCCAATGATCTTATTTTTTATCACCCTCAGCTTGCACTCCCTTTCCCACTCTGAATCCAGTGATTATTTGATTCCACTGTAGCTTCCAATCTAGTGACCAGAATATCTTTTCACTGTTCATTATCTCCCTCCTTTTACTTGGTTTAATTTCCTCATCTGTCAATAAAACAACTCTTATATTTTTCCTCTTTTACCTCTTGTGCTACCCTTAACCCCTCTGGTACAAAAGCCTTGAAAAATCCCAACTCTGGTTAAATGTAACTCTTGGCACTATTGAAAAATTATGCTGAATATCTGAACCTGACTGGAAAATACATAACTCTGCTGACTGGTTTTACTTTTCATTCATGACAAAAAAAAAAAAGTCTGAAGCAGACGGATCCTTCATAAGGTCTATCAAACCTAGTACGTTTTCTTAGTTAATGCACTCTCACACTCTCCAGGTGACCTTCGTATCCTCTCCTCTTTCTGCAAACCTCCAACACCTCTCCCATATCACTCTCAACTAAAGACCTTGCTTTTTTATGTCTGAGGAAACAAAACAATCAGAAAAACTTCTAAGAATCCCACCACCAAATCTACCAACTTACCTGCATCTGTAACTAAACACATTCCCTTTCCCAGCTGTTAAAGTGGATAAACTCTTACTAATACAATAGACTAGATCTAATTCCCTTTCATCTAAGCAAGCATATCACTGGTGTAATCCCTCATTCTCTTGTCATTTTTTTCATTCTACTAGATTATTGTCACCAGCATAAAACATATTGCCATTGATGCCATTTCTAAAACAAAACAAAATACCAGAAATCTTTGGTCTCACATTCCCTTCCAGGTACCATATTTCTCTGCAACACTACGCTGTAGCCCTTAACGGTAAAAATTCCTTGAGGTAAAATTCCTCAAAAGCATTCTCTATACTTGCTGTCCCACTTCTTCATCACCATTTTCTCAATTCCAGTCAGTTTTTCACCCCACCTCTCTACTGAAATCGCTCTTCCTGAGGTCACCAATCCTTTCCAATTGTCAGGTCATCTAAAACTTTGCACCTTATTCAAATTATTAGTAGCATTTGACAAAAGTGATAAATCTTTCTCGAAACACTTCCTTTACTTCACTGTGAAAAATTGTGCCCTACCCATAATTTCCTTTGTTGATTTCTCCTCATTTTTCCAATCTCTACTTGGGAATCCTGGAGGTTTCCTGGGCTTTTCATCTATGCTCCCTCCTTAGGTGATCCCATCTAGCTTCAAATACTTTACGGTGATGATCATAAAAATCTCTCTAGCCCCAACCACTCTCTTAAACTTGTGTATCTAACTCTGACGTTACAGTTCACATGGATGTTTACCAGCCAACTCAAACACAGTATATGTAAAATAGAACCCCAGCCCACAGTGGTCCTTCTCTATACCTCTCTGAGTATGAGTAAACAGCACCCTCATTAACTGATTCATGCCATCTCTTTGAAATCATCTCCTACCACCAGGTACCTTCCTAGCTTATTCTACTGTCAACACTGACCACTTTGCTATTTGAACGTAACTGGGTCTTTTTACTTGCTATTACCTCTACTTGGAACTCTCTTCTCCCAGATATCCAAATAATGGTTCCCTCGATTCCTTCAGGTCTCTATTGAATTGTCATTTATTAGATTCTCTTACATGATACATAACACAGTACTCTCCTGCCTGCCTTTCTATTTTTCTTCAGAGCATTTATCACTATTTACATGTCATTTATTTATTTGCAATTTCTTTTTCCCCAACAGAATGTTAGCTGTATGAGAATGGAACTTTGTCTAGACCATTTACTACTATATGTCAAGCAATGTATTACAGAGTACATAGCGCTATGGATTACAGAGTACATAACGCAGTATGAAATATTTTAAGATGTAATACAAACCATCAAAAGTTTTATTCAGACAAATAATGGAGCTGTTACCAAATAAAAATTATTATTTTCCATGCAAATACAAAAGGGAGACAATGAAAATATCTTCAAGAAAAATAAAAATTAACTTCAGGCAAATGTATCTCATTAATAAACCAAATCATAAATAAGGGCATAGGACTGGGCGTAATGGTTCATGCCTGTAATCCCAATACTTTGCGAGGCTAAGGTGGGAGGGTTGCTTGAGGTCAGGTGTTTGAAAACAGCCTGGAAAACAATCACTACAAAAACTTTTTAAAAAATTAGTTGGGCATGGTGGCATGTGCCAGCAGTCCAGCTACTTGGGAGGCTGAGGCTGGAGGATCCTCTGAGCACAGGAGTTGGAGGCTGCAGTAAGCTATGATTGTGCTACTACACTCCAGCCTGAGCTCAAAAAATAAAAATAATTTTTTTTCATGATTAGAGTACAATTCTTTTCCCTGAAACTTTAAAGATAGAATTCATAACTGTTCTAATTCTTTTCCTTGAAACTTTAAAGACAGAATTCATAACAGTATATTTATAATCATTTCCATTCCCCCATGAAATTCAAATTTTAAGAAAAGACAATAAGGCCATAATTATTAAAAGGAATTTTTAGAGAAAACCCTTTACACCCAGGTGTTTCCATTAAAAAAAAAGAAATTTAAAAAGGATCATAAGTTTTTCCACACTAATGTTTTTCCAATATAGAAATCTACACTGGTTTTCATGAGAAACATCTGTCTCATCAATACCATAAAAAGCAAAAGCAGCACTTTAATTAAAAACATTTATATTTTAGTAATAAAAAATGTTTTAAAAAGTCAGTCATGATTTTACCATAGAAGCTTAAAAACACATTGATCCTTTGTACAAAATGTAATAGATTCTAAACAAAATTATTGATCTTTAACATTAAATAGTATTGAATATAAATAAACTTAATTGAATGTAAAATTTTACTTATATAAAATCTAAATGAAAAATACCTGAAAAGATTGAGTACAGTATTATGCCACTCAAATATGAAAATACACACATTTGCAGAAGTCAAAATTCACACTCTGATCTTATATAAGTAATAGAACCAAATATGATTAAAATAACATCAGCATGTGTAACAACAGCAAATAATTCCATGTTAATCATCAGGTTTTCCATTGTTCCTAAGGAAAAAAATCTAAGGTTTACTCATTAAAAAATAATGAAAATTGTAATCAGTAAATTTTTTTTGAAACTTACAATTTAGATACTCCTCAAACTTTTCAAAAGCATAATCTTCACGATTAAATGCATTTTCTGTATTCATACCTTCCCATCAGCTGAATATTAAACACTACGTTGTCAAAGACACTGAAAGTGTTTCAATAAAAATGATTCTCTAAAGAGCAAAAACCAAGCACCAAACTGTACCCAAAAATTACCTTATACCAGTGTACTGCTTAAGGAGAAAAAATGTAGGTATCAAAGAATAGAGTACAATGCCATTTAAAAATCCTTATCTATTATTATATATTAACCTTAATGATAATTATAAAGGAAATGAATACAGCTTTCCTTCCCACAGGAAGTCAAACCTTTCATTAAAGAGCATTACTCACCGCCCACGTTTTAGTCAACCTGAAAATTGGGGCACTCTGTAAGCCAGAAACCACTGCCATAAGTGCATGAAGGTTATTCAGCTCATATAGTTTCTGAAGATTAAAAAAAAAAAAAAAATGGGGGAGAGGGATGAAAAAGAAACATGAATATAAGAAAAAATTTAGACTAACAAGTACAATCTTGGCAACTGATATAACGTTCCAGTATATATTACCTTCATTATTGAGATTTGTCTTTCAACTACCCATATTATTTACACTAAATTGTTCTGATGCACAACAGAACTTACATTTTCTACCCTGGCATTGTCCCCAAGCTCTGGGAATAAATCTACCTCTAGTTGAGTAACATTAAGAAAATCAAGGTTATGTCTCACATTAAGTTTACATGGTATCATCATGAAACCTGGTTTCTAGTAAAGTCTCCCTTATTACTAAGCCTCTGCTTTATGTTTCAAGTTTCAAGAAAGGGTCAACATCCAGGATTCTTATTTGGTTTCCTATTCAGTACTCCCATTATTCTAGGACAAGGGAGAAACCTGCCTTTCACAGTCTTCCTCAATTTTCTGCTTCCTCCTACCTAAATCCCCAGATCTTTTTTTTTCTCGTTGATGCTGAGATACTGATTTTACAGTCTGCATGTAAAAAACTCCTAACACTAGTTTCCAGCAATTTGCCATGAGATCTGCATGACATTTATTGCTAATTTCCCAGATTTTTAAATACTACCCAATGCTTACATCCCACAAGTCCTGTCTAAAAACCAGTCATTTTACAACTGTCCTAATCCTACTCCCAGGTAAGCTCCAGATGTAGAAAATGCTATGGATAGAACATTTAATTGAAAACCCAAAGAAAACAAATAAAAACAAAATAAATCAGTAACACAAAACATAATATAAACCTTTACACAAGGTTATATAATCTAATTGGAAAGCATTCGACAAACGTATTTCAAGCATTTATTATACTAGGTACCATATTAGACTGCATATACAAAAATGAAAAAAACCTATCAAGAAGCTTCAGTCTAGTGAGGCAGACATGAAAACAAACAAATACAAATCTTATTTGCATATTTCTAGAATAAAATTATATGTAGGGTTCTGTAAATGTACAGAGTAATCAGCCCCTAACTTTGTCTATCTATGGCGGGGGTTCCAATAAGAGACCCTCATTGCATAAAGCAGAGACACTGAAGGGCTCATAGCCTGAGTGTAAGAGCAGGATAGAAGTAATCCTCACCCACCATCAAGAGACTGCAAGGAAACAATACCTGTTGTGAACCACAGTGCTAACGGAAGAGGGAAGGGGTCTTATGAAAGTTTGTAGCCCACATAATTACTTCATAGTAAGAAGAAACAAAGGCCGAGTGTGGTGACTCACACCTATAATCCTAGCACTTTGGGAGGCTGAGGTTGGCGGACTGCTTGAGCCCAGGAGTTCAAGACCAGCCTGGGCAACATAGCAAAACCTTGTCTCTACAAAAACAAAAAACAAAAACCAAAAATTAACCAGGCGTGGTGGCATGTGCCTGTAGTCCCAGCTACTTGGGAGGCTGGGAGGTAGGAGGACTGCTTGAGACCAGGAGACAGAGGTTGTGGTGAGCCATGATTGTGCCACCGTACTACATAGCCTGGGCGATCCAGCAAAACTCTGTCTCAAAAAAAAAAAAAGAAAGAATAAACAAATAGAAACAACAAAAACCTCATGCTGAACTTGTAGCTTCTGCCTAAGATGTAGTACAGCATGAGAAATCATTGTTCTAGCCATAACAGCAAGAAAACAAAACAGACAAACTTAGAAAGAAAACCATTTTATTAAAGACACTAGAGAGTTGTGGACACAAATAAATTCCACCATTAAAAAAAAACAACAACAAAACCCAGCCTTTAAACAGTTTTTCCCCCTGAGGGCATATGCTTAATCTCTACAAGGCTAGGCAAAGATTAAGCCTCCAATGGCCAGTAAGAAGAAACCATTGTTTTTACAACCTTGTGGGCTGATACAACAGACTAGAATCTGTAGGAGTCTCAAACCTAGAGTTGGTTCTTGTGTCCACTGATTCACTCCTAATAGAACTTTCTTTACTGTGTGTCAGTGCTGGAGGCTGATGGCTGGGTTAGAAAGCAGAGAGGGATCTCTGGGGCTGAGACAACAGGGTCCTGCTAGAGGAAGCGGCCTGTACAATACAAAGTACAGATTTTGCCCTGAGTCATTAGTAACCAGAGATGATTTGAAACTAACTAAAGCTAAAACTCAACCCTATCCACCTCAATTCCTAATAGGATCGGAAAAATTAGCTTTTCTCTCTCTCTCTTTTTTTTTTTTTTTGGAGACATGGTCTGTTGCCCAGGCTGGAGTGTAGTGTCCTGATCTCGGCTCACTGCAACCTCCACCTCCGGGTTTAAGCAATTCTCCTGCCTCAGCCTCCTGAGCAGCTGGGACTACAGGTGTGTACCACCTTGCCTGGCTGGTTTCTGTATTTTTAGTAGATACGGGGTTTCACTATGTTGGCCAGGCTGGTCTTGAACTCCTGACCTCAGGTGATCTGCCCTCCTTGGCCTCCCAGGGTACTAGGATTACATGCCTGGCCAGAAAAATCGGCTTCTCGTTCTCGTTCCCTCACAGAGGATTGGTCTTAAGCACCCTGGGAGAAGAGAATCTTTACTTCAGTCTCTACCATTCTTTTATATACAATGTTTAAAGGTAGAAAAGTCAGAAAGGAAGAAGTAAAATCTGCCTTTATTTTCAGATGACATGATTGCATATATAGCACCAAACAATTAGAAAATGAGATGGAAAAACATTTACAGTAACATCAGAACACTGGCCATCTAGAAATAAAGAGATGCAAGAGTGCTTCACTGAAAATAAAGCATTGTTGAGAGAAATTAAAGAAAACTTAAACAGAGATATACCATGTTTATGGATTTAAAGTCTTAATATTGTCATCAATTCTTCCCAAAGTGATCTATAAATTCAATAAAACCTCAATCAATAGCTATAGCTTCAACCCAGGAGGCAGAGGTTTTATGTATTTCTGAAAAGGGTTTGTATACAGAATACATTTAAAAAGTCCCTACAACTTGATAAGACAAACAATCCTATTAAAAATATGGGCAAAAGATTTGAAAGGATAATATCACAAAGCAAAATATCCAAACGATCCACGTACATATGAAAAGATACTCAACCATCACTATCATTAGAGAAATACAAATTACAACCACAATAAGATACAACTACACACCCAAAAGAACAGCCAAAATTAAAAAAAAAAAAAAAATTAAACATCAAGTACTGGCAAGATGTGTGGAGTAACTAGAAGACTCTTATTGCTGACTGAAATTTAACGTGGTAAAACCAACAGGGTTATGTTGGAAAATAAGAATATTTGGCAGTTTCTAATGAAGTTAAAACATATTCCTAATCTATAACCCAGCAGGTCCACCGCTCCTAGGTATAATCAAGAAAAAAATGCATATTTCACAAAAATATTCATAATAGCTTTATTCATAGAAGCCAAAGGTAAAACAAATGTGCATTAATAAAATGATAAAAAAAACCACTGTGGAATATCCATACATTGGAAATCTACTCAGCAATAAAAGAATTACCGAAAACATGCAACGTGGATGAATCTCAAAAACATGATAAGCAAGGAATTTGAGACTGGCCTGGCTAGTGTGTTGAAACCCCGTCCTACTAAAAAAATACAAAAATTAGCCAGGCATAGTGGTGTGAACCTGTAATGCCAGCTACCTGGGAGGCTGAGGCAGGAAAACTGCATGAACCCTGCAGGCGGAGGCTGCAGTGAACGATCGCCTGGACGACAGAGTGAGACTCCATCTCAAAAAAAATATCAATAAAAGACCAATGCCAAAATAGAAAACTGCTGAACGATCTTAAACAGACCTTTCAAGAGAGAAAACCTAAATGGCCAATATAGAAGAGATGTTCACTCCTTTCAGATTCAATGAAAGGCTATTAAAACTAAATGAGATACATTTCACATTCACCAGAATTGGCAATAATGAAACATTTTGACAATATCAGGTGGTGACATGCATGTGGAGCAATAGGCATCTTCATAAATTGCTAGTGACAGTATATCAATATAACCAGTTTGGAGGTTACCTATAACAAAGTTAAAAATGATGAGGGGACGGGTATAGTGGCTCACACTTGTAATCCCAGCACTTTGGGAGGTCAATGTTGGGGGATCACTTGAGCACAGGAGTTCAAGACCAGCCTGGGCAACACAGTGAGGCCTTGTCTTTAAAAAAAAAAAAGGAAATTAGCCAGGGGTGGTGGCTAATCCCTATTACTAAGTAGGCTGAGGTGAGAGACTGCTTGGGCCCAGGAGGTAGAGGGTGCAGTGAGTTAGGGTTTGCACCCCTGGCTTTCAGCCTGAGTGACAAAACAAGATCCTGTCTAAAAAAAAAAAAAAGAGTGAGAGAGAGACTCAGCAATTTTACTGCTAGTATGAACTCTGTGTTTCTAGGGCTTCAACCTTCACATAAATACCAAGAGACTCACAAGAATGCTCATAGCAGCAGGGCTTATAATAGCAAAAATCTGGAAATAATCCAAAGTACATTGAATAATTTGTGATATATGCAAATACGATACTCTACAACACAGCTACTCCTAAAACCATTAAGTAACAATGTCTAGTTATAAAAGTGTAAAAGTAAATATGAAATAATTCAATTTAAACAAAATCCAAAAGCATACGTTTGCAACAATCATTCAGAAACACATAAGCTGTAAAAGAAAAGCAAACATAAAATTCAAGGCAGTAGTTCCCACTGTAGTAGAAGGGAAGGAGGTGGCATATGAAGAGGTACATGAAAATTCCCAGTGCTAAGTGGGTGCATGCATGGGTATCCACATTATGATTCTTTTGCTACTTTAAATATTCTTATATTCTTTTGTATCTATGTGATGGTAAGTTTTACGTATCAACTTGGCTAGACTATCAGCTTGATTCAGTTACTTAATCAAACCCTAATTATCATGAAGATATTTTATAGATGTGGTTAACATCTATAATCAGTGGACTTTAAGGGATTCCACTTGATAATGTGTGAACCTCACCTGTTCAGCTGAAAGGCCTTAATACTGAAAACTGGGGTTTCCTGGAAAAGAAATTCTGCCTCAAGAATACTGCCTAACCTCCTGAGTTTCCGGCCTGTTGGCCTGCCCTACAGATTTCATACTTGCCAGCCCCCTTCAATGGTATAAGTCAATTCCTAAAATCTATTTATACATTTTATATTTAGATCTCTTTATACACATGTATACAGAATACTATGGTTCTATCTCTCTGGAGAATGCCAACTGATACAATACTCAAGTAAGAGACCTGTTAGTTTTATAACAAACAATATAGTAGGAAGAGAGTCAGAGTAGAAGAGTTTAAGAGACAACAATAAGAAAAAAACAATTATGGGTTTAGAGCTTGGTATGAAGGTAAGTGCTGTCAAAAATAATTCAAAGTCTGAACTGAAATTAAATGACTGCTTGATGAAGACAGTGGTAGGTTTGAGCAAAATTTGGTGGTTTTGAGTGGAACATACTTAAAAGTATCAGAAAATAATAATGTAGAATTCATGGAGAAGAATCATTAATTTTATTAGTTAAAAACCAGGATTGGCTAGGCACAGTGGCTCACACCTGTAATCCCAGCACTTTGAGAGGCCGAGGCAGGCGGATCGCCTGAGGTCAGGCGTTTGAGACCAGCCTGGCCAACATGGTGAAACCCCATCTCTACTAAAAATATGAAAATTAGCTGGGTGTGGTAGTATGCACCTGTAGTCCCAGCTACTTGGGGAGCTGAGATGTAAGAATCACTTGAACCCAGGAGGCGGATGTTGCAGAGCCAAGGTCACACCATTGCACTCCAGCCTGGGCCACAGAGTATAACTCCATCTCAAAAAATACATACATATATCTAACACATCACCACAAAAAATTTTTAAAACATTTTGACACTTTTGCAAAATATCAAATTTGTAGAAGGCTAGCTCTGCCACCTAGTGCCACAGAATGTTAGAATACAATTGCTCCCACGTTCTTAAGGAAAATATGGAAGAGTTATGACTTACAATAATTGTAAACATGGTACTCTCATTTTATTCTACCTTCTTTCATTCACAGGTAAGCTAAGTTTTGTATTTATGACAAGAGTAATGAATGAACGTGGCTACAATTACCATACTTCTTAGTGAACTTAACATTAAAAGAAACCAAAAATATATTATCCTAAAATATACTTCTTTGACATATTTTGAGATGGCTATTCAGAGGGCCTACAGACAGAAATAGCCCTGAAAAGCTGCCTTTTGTGGAGGAGATTCGCGTCTGTAGAGAAAATCTACATTGGTGAAATGAATAGCTAGGCTTTCTCTTGAGTACCCTCTCCCTTGTCCAGATCCAGGAAGAATTAACTCAACCACAGGCTACCCCAACTATTCTTTCTGAGGGTAGTTCTGAGATTATCTGAGATATTTCCTTGAGGTATCTGTCTTTGCTTAACATGGTTTCCTCCGTTCACTCACCCATAACCTGTGATGCCATCTCCCCCAGAGCTCAGAGAAACTTGGTCTCAGGCCTTTGTTCTCTGGCCTCATTCATTTTCCCTGTAAGTCGCTCCTATGCATCCCTTTCCCCAAAACTCCCCTCTCCCCAGTGAAGAGGATATTTAAGCATCAACCATTTGGCCCTGCTTTGAGTTTGTACTTTGTATGACTTCTATGCACATGTAATAAATCTGCTATGCTTTTCTCTCATTAACCTGTCTTTTGTTATAGGGCTGCCGGCCCTAAGCCTTCATGATAGAGAGGGAAAGGCTCATTCCCTTTCTGCTCCTACAGCTAAATTCAGAGTTGTCACAAGTTTTAACAAAATCTTGGTATCCTCTTGTGAATAGCCTGTCTCACCTCTCTCTCTAATTTCCAATTACTATTGAAATCCATGCTCCATTTCTCTTGCTCTATTTATTATCTATGCCACACAATAATTGCTCGGTTAATAATGTGGTAACATCACATATACTAGTCTCTTAAAAATAAAGTCTTATTCTTCACATGTTTCACTTCAGAAGTGAAGTAGTATGCTCCTACTTAGTCCTTCATGGCTTTCTTCATCACCTGCAGAATAGTCCAAAATTTTATAAATATCATACTTTACCACAATCTAAACTTTGTTTACTTATTCAGTGAAACAGATCACATTAATTCACTACTCAGAGAGTGGGGTGAAGGATATAAAAGAAAGGGTAGGAAAACAGGAAGACTAAAGGAAAAGACAGGGAACGTGGGCATCCAGCTTTAAAAACTGACTTATACTAATCAATGGGCCTTATTTTTCCAGTATCAATGAACACTAAAGAAAACATTATAAATATTTATTCACTTGCAAACATTTATGAATGGTTGAACACAAAAATAAAAACACAAGTTTTTCTTACCTTAGCAGTTTTAATATAGTGGCTCAAAACTTCAGCTCTAATTTTTAATGTTTGAGCATGAAGAATTTCTCTAACAACCCAAAAACTTACCTGTAAAGAAAAATATTAAATAAACATCACTATGATTTTTAATTTGTAAAAGTTATTGTTTTGCTGTATTTTAAAACATTTTGACAGAATTAGGTAAGCTCTAAAACTAAACATTGTAAAAGATGCTACTTATAGCAAGTTTTTCTGTGGCTGTGTAATTCTACATGGCTGTTTATTTACATTGAGTAGGATCATAAGTGAAGATTCCCAAGTAGGGTTTTCTTGCTGTAAACAAAACGAAATATCAAAGAAACAAAAATATATCTAACATTTTAAGATTAAAACTGCATTTCAAAAATTTTGAAATTCTTTCAAATAAAACCATCTTCTTGATTTCTTTTAAAAAATCATTAAAACTAATTTATTAGAAGGCAGGTTAGATATACAATATTAAAATGCTCTATTCTGAATAATTTGCTTATTATATGATATGCCCATGCACATTTTAGCACATTTTAATTCATGTACTATGAAAACAAAGTCAATGCACTGTCAAGTTGGTTCAAACTTATATAAATCCAACTACAGAATATAGTTTGAAATCACTGCAAAAATAATGCCACTGCCTCATATTTCTTTACATTTTTAATGAGAAATATTTCAGATTTTACTTGGAATTTTCATCTGTAAACAAATGTCATTACGTATTTTACACATATTTTACAAATATATATGGAACTATAAAGTGTACATATTTTACAAAGTCACCTTAGTACTTGTTACTATACTTGGGCTACTAATAGTAATAATCCTCCCCAATTCTAATAAGGTTTACTCCTAAAAAAAAAACAATCAAGTTATGCTATGGAAATCTTAATAATAACCTTACCAAATACCAATTATGAATTCAAATCTGAAGTGCAAGTTCGCCAACTTAATTAAATTTAATGTTGGGCAAATTTTAAGACAATTACTATGGTGATTCGTTTTGTTTTAGAGACAGAGTCTAACGTTCTGTTGTCCAGGCTGGAGTGCAGTGGGGTAATCTCGGCTAACTGCAACCTCTGCCTCCCAGGCTCAAGTGATTCTCCTGCCTCAGTCTCCTAAGTAGCTGAGATCACAGGCATGAGCCACCATGCCCAGCTAATTTTTGTATTTTTTTTTAGTCAAGACACGGTTTTGCCATGTTGCCCAGGCTGGTCTCGAACTTCTGAGCTCAGGTGACCCACCAGCCTCCTTGGCTTCCCAAAGTGCTGTGACTACGGCGTGAGCCACTCTACCTGGCCAACGTGATTTTTTTTTTTTTTTTTTTAAAGATGAAATCTTATTATGTTGCCCAAGCTGGTCTTGAACTCCTGGGCTCAAGTGATCCTCCTGTCTCAGCCTCTCGGAGCAGGAACTATAGGGACTCACTACAACACCTGGCTTAGACAAATGTGATGGTGATTTTAAGCACACATTCTTTGTCACTCTCTCATCGAAAGTTGGGACGTGTATCACTTCTTACTGAATTGGGGCAGGCTTGTGACTGCTTTGATGATGAAAGCATTAGCAAAAGTGACAATGACTTCCAGGATAAGGTCATAAAAGACCATGCAGCCCCTGCCTTGATTGCTGGAACATTCTCTTGGAGAATCCTAAGCTACTATGTAATATATCCAGGCACCCTGAGACGCCCATACTGGAAGGCTAAGTGTATGTGCTTCCCAAATGACAGTCCGTTAAAGTCAACCACATTTAAGAATGCTGACCCAGAATAACCAACACCAAGACATGGTTTCATAAAATTGCTGGACTCACACGAAAAAATATTTTTTGCTTTAAGCCCCTAGAATTGCTCGGTTACATCTAACAAACTTTAAAAAAATGTATTTCTGAATTGGAAGAAAAATAAAGGATTTCCTCTAGAGACAAAAAACAAGGAATTAAAAGCAAAGCAGTGATTAAAGAGTGGGTACTCTATCTGCCCTTGGAGGATTTCCTGTCTCAGTGACATAGGGGCTTGGGATTTAATGCTACTTCAAAGACATAATACAAGGCCTCACACCTCTTCACTCCTCCATTTCTATCTAATGCTACTCAAAGGTCTACAATTTCAGTGAAAAGGTAGACTGAAACAATTCACTTATTTTTCAATTCCTTTGAAAAAGGGAGACAACAAGCAAGTGTGTCCGTAGTAATGTAGGCTCTGGGTGGTCAAGGAGAAAAAAAGAAAAACTCTTTCATAAGAATTTAGACTGGGCATGGTGGCTTATGCTTATAATCACAGTGCTTTGAGAGGCTGAGGCAGGAGGATCACTTGAGGTCAGGAGTTTGAGACTAGCCTGGGCAACATAGTGAGATCTCATCTCCACAAAATATTTTTTTTTAAATTAGTCTGGCATAGTGGTGCATGCCTGTAGTCCTAGCTACCTGAGAGTCTAAGGCAGGAGGACTGGTTGAGCCCAAGAGTTTGAGGATGCAGTGAGCTATGACTGCACCACTGTACTCCAGCCTGGGTGACAGAGAGAAGCTCTGTTTCCAAAAAAAAAAAAAAAAAAATTAATTTAAAAATAAAAATTTGTTAACTACAGGCTGCCTTTAACTGGATTTGATATTTAAATTTTTACTACAGAGAAGTACAAAGATGCTTGAAGCACAACAATAAACATAAAAAATAGTCTTAGATCTGCAACAACCCTGGATATTGACAAAAGCAAACTGCCTCTTAGAATATGGACTCCCTCAATTGAGGCAGCAGCAAAATTCTCATGGATAAAGCTTAAATAGATATGAGCTTTCAAGCCAAAGATACAAAATTCATTACATATCTTTGAAAAACCCACTTTAAGAATGAACAGAAATAAAGCAGTAGTACCCCAAGAAGTTCCAATAATACTATAGAAACTGCTGAAAATTAATAAATTTTAAAAATGAAGTAAATTAAAAGATAAGAAAAGAGCATGACTGGTGTAAAAGCATACAGATTTGAAACAGATAAAACACATTTGAAGAAAATCAGTGAACTGAAATGTAGATCTGAGGAAATCACTCGGAATGGAGCACAAAGACAAAAAATATGAAAGGTTAAGAGACAAGCAGGAAAGAATGTCAACTTCCAACAAATTTTCAATAGGAATGACAGAGAAAAAAAACAGAGATCATGCACAGAGATAATACTTGAGAGATACTGGCTGAAAATATTCCATGACTAATGTGAAAAGTTAAATTATTTCTTAAGGAAAAATTATATAGTGAAGAACTGAATTTCAGACATAGTATTAAAATTTATAAACTCACATGATTGAATCTTCTTGTGAAGGCAACTGCATTTGGTGCAGAACTATATTTTTCTTTTTTATTCCATCCACAACTTGAAAGCTCCTGGAAAATTAAGGTGAAAATTAAATATAAGAAATAACCCAGTTTTCTTGCCCAATTAAGGGTTTCAAAACATTAAAGACAGTTTATGTTCTTTTCTAGAATCACTTTATTTAATGGGAACATATGCAATATTATATCCATTCAGTTAAATCACAAAAGCAAATTTGATCAGCAGGACATGAGAGAGCACAGTGACTATGAAAACATAGGCACTTTTACATTCCGTAGGCAGAATTCTGGTGGATTCTTCTCTGAAAAGATTTGAATCCCAAGAGGAAAAGATCCATAGATATAGATGAGCATCCCACAACACAGAGTGAAGACTACTAGTTGTCAAGCTCTATTCAGTCACCCAGACCTCCCAATCAGCTTTCCAGTATCTCACTCTGGGCCAACAGTCAGTGGCCCCAGACATTTGAAGAAACCTTTAATAAAAGGAATCATGATCCCCTAAAGGGCCTGTCAATAAAATACAAAGGGCCCACGAACTTTGATATAAAAAAATTTACTTTCGTTATACACTAACCTCTAACTGAAATAAGATAGCCCTTTTAGTTATAAAGGTAGGCTACAGATGACAGTGGTATTGGCAACACATGTGATGTAGTTATCAATCAAAATCACTGACATTTTCATATCACATTACAGTTGATTCGGATACCATTTATACCCATCACTATTTCAAACTTATGGCAGATACTTTATATTTTTAGGGACCGGGTCTTCCTCTGTCACCCAGGCAGGAGTATACTGGTGGGATCACAGTTTGCTGCAGCTATGACCTCCCTGGCTTAAGCAATTATTCCACCTCAGCCTTCCAAGTAGTTGGGACTACAGGTGTGCACCACCACACTTGGCTATTTTTGTTTTTATTTTTTGCAGAGACAGGGTCTCACAATGTTGGCCAAACTGGTCTTGAACTCCTACGCTGAAGCAATCCTCCTGCCTCAGCCTCTTAAAATGCTGGGATTCCAGGCGTGGGTCATCACACCCAGATATGGGAATATTTAAGGCTGACCTCTAGATTTTAATGCATTAACAAAGAAGCACATGTATTGCTGTATAACAGCTTTTAAAAATATTTTGATAAGTATATTTTAACAGAACTGAATTCCTTTTATTTTAAAGAAGGGCTAGAGTTCCATAGGCTTCAGTCTGCCACATGGGTCCAAGGTCCAAAATAGGTTAACAAACTTCTATAATACAAAAATAGCCACGGAGAGACAGAAACCACAAGAAATAAGAAACAGAACTCTGAGGAAACAGAGTTAGGGCAGAGAACAGAAGAAGCTGAGTTAGGGCAGGGAATGAAGAAAACTGAGAAAAGAAGACGACAAAACCATATAATTATTTTTCAATACATGAGAAAAGACATTGTACCCATTGAGCAAAAAACAGGAGGATATATAAAAAGAAATATTCAGAGAAAAAAACAGAGCTTTTAGAAATAAAAAATAGACAAATCTGAAAGTCAATAGAAGAGTTGTGAATCAAAGTGACTAAAACTTTTTTTTTTTTTTTTTTTTTGAGATGGAGTTTCACTCTTGTTACCCAGGCTGGAGTGCAATGGCGCAATCTCAGCTCACCGCAACCTCCGCCTCCTGGGTTCAGGCAATTCTCCTGCCTCAGCCTCCTGAGTAGCTGGGATTACAGGCACACGCCACCATGCCCAGCTGAATTTTTGTATTTTTAGCAGAGATGGGGTTTCACCATGTTGACCAGGATGGTCTCGATCTCTTGACCTCATGATCCACCCGCCTCGGCCTCCCAAAGTGCTGGGATTACAGGCTTGAGCCACCGCGCCCCGCCGTGACTAAAACTTTTAAACAAAAAGTTAATGATAGGAATAAAATGTTTTTATGCTAATTTGAATACCCTAAGGGTCAACATCTGAATAACAGGAATTTTAAGAGGGAACAGAGAAAACTGATCAGAGATTCAAAAACAAAAAAAAAAAAACAGATCATATACAGAAAAACAGGGATCAGAAGCTATCAGATATCTTAACAGCAGCACTGGAAGTTAAAAGACAACTGAAATGATGTCTTCAAATTTGAAGAATTCAATTTTCTAGAATCCTATATTCAACATGAATATCAATTAAGTCTGAAAGTAGACTATAGACATTTTCAAACATGAACATCTCAGACAATTTGCCTTCTATATACCTACTCTCAGAGAATTAGTAGAGTACGTGTTCTATCAAAACAAACTAGCAAACAAAGAAAACGGAAGAGATGAGGCCCAGGAAACTGAGGAGGCAATACAGAAAGAAAAATATTGGGAATCCTCTGATTAACAGCAATGGGAGATCCTGAAGCAAACCTATGAGCAGACTTTAAGAACAAGAGTCAAGAAAGGAGCAACAGGACAGAAATTCCAACAGACATCTCTCTCTGAAAAGTGGGGGAAAAAAAAAAAAAAAAAAAAAAAAAAGAGAGACAATCAGTACATTCATTTCTGGCAGAAAATTACTGATAGATACAAAGAAAACTAAAGCACATTTTAGCTCAAAAAAGAAAAAAAACAAACAAGTAAATAATCACAGTTCAACTGTAAAGAATATAGTTAACTTAGTAAAAACTGTGACATAACCGTATGTGCAAAAGGAGAAGTGAATTGTGTAAATGGGGAGGAGAATATAAGAGAATGAAATCATCTTCTATAGTAAAGAGTCAACATATCATATTTGAAATAGAAATGTCAAGGAAAAATAAGAATTTAGGCATATTATTTGAGAAACAGACATAAATTCCTCTAAGGAGAAACAGCTAAGAGATCTGGGTGGGAATGAGGCTCCAGGATGGAGGTTGGAAAGATGAGAATAACTGAGTTACAGTTCTGCTACATTTTGTTCTCTTATGGAAATATCTGACTTCTTAAACATGGTACATGCATATCTTCAATAAGATCTTAAAATAGAAACCAAAACCAAACAAACAAACAAACAAAAGGAATAAATTGAGTCAGGGGAAGATTGAGGAAATAGTTAAGATGATACTATGGTCTTTCAAGAAAAAGCTGATGTTCCCTCAACTAGGGCACTGTCAGAAAAAGGTAATGTTCCCTCAACTAGGGCATTATCATTGAAAAAAAAATGATAGATTCAAGATATTCTGGAGGCAGACAGGACTTCGTCAAGAACTAGACTCGTGATGTAAGCTAAAAACAAAGTCTGCAGAAGTACTAAGATTCCAGGTGTCTGCCTCCAGCAATTCTGACAGGGAATACGGGTGGCGGGGGGAGACAACAATTATTTCCACATAGTAGGTAAGCAGTAAACACTCTGGAGAGAAAAACTGCCTTTTTAAATCTTAAAATTAGATCATATCTTTCAAACTTAAAATTTCTGACAGAAAATAATGAAATGATAAAAGCAATTTTACAGCAAAAACAAAAACTTCTGGATATTCAATTAGCCTAGCTATATGATCATTTTATATTATTTCCCTGTAAAAAAATGAAAGCATTTAGTAGTAAAAATTATATCCACACAACAATGGTATTATGACAATGATATTGAAAGCATCAAACTGCTAGAAACATTTCTGTTCTTTCTAAAATCACAGCATACAAACACAACTACCTAAAGGTGCCATATTTTATGATAAAATTCCTAACATTAAATACCTAAATAACTGAATCTATTTTTAACCAATTACTACAATTACAAAATTTATATTAATGCTATAATCAAAGTGTCTATCAAATTAAACTTATCATACCACTCAAAGGAGCCATTTGACATAGAATTCAAACTCAATTATAGGCCTTTACACAAAAGGCTGATTTATTATCCTATTGTAAGTAATGCTGTACTACAAATAATGAATATCCTTGCACCTTTCCTGACATTTCTGATTATTCCTTTAAAATACAGTCCTACAAGAAATCACAAGGTCAAAGAGTACAAACCTTTCCAAGGCTTTGCTACCTGTCAAACTGCCCTCCTGAAATACTGAATCATTTACACTCCCATGAGAAATGAATGTAAGTTTCACAATAGTCTTATCAAAATAGAAAGATTCATGTTGTTCAAGTTGACCCCTGAACAACATGGGTTTGAACTGTGTGGGTCCACTCACACATAAATTTTTTTCAAAAAAATATTTTGGAAATTTTGTTTTCAAGATTTGTAACAATTTCAAAAAAACTTGCAGACAAACCACATAGCTTGGAAACATTGAAAAATTAAGAAAAAGCTAGGATGGCATGAATGTATAAAATACTAGTCTATTTTTATCATTTACAACCATAAAATACACACAAATATATTATTAAAAGTTAACATTTATGAAAATTAATGCAAACAGACCTTACATACTGCCATATGCAGTCCGGAGAAATGTAACAAACATAAAGGTGCAATATTAAATGATAACTGCATAAAATTAACTGTAGTATATACTGTTCTACTATAGTAATTTTGTAACCAACCTGTGTTGCTTTTATATTGAGCTCAAGTGTTGAGCGTATTCCCTTAAAACACCCTGTGATGACACTTATCATCTCTACATGAGCAGTTCCTCTCTCCAGTAAATTGGGTTATCACAGTAAAATGTGATCTCTCATGGTTCTCACATTATTTTTCATTGTATTTAGTGCAATATCCTAAACCTTGAATAACACCATGGGACCCATAAGAAGTGCCACAAGTGATGCTAGAAGTGCTCCTAAGAAGCAGGAAAAAAGTCATGACATTACAAGAACAAGTAGAATTGCTTGATATGTAACCACAGGCTGAGGTCCTGCTGCCATTTCAGTCAATTCATCTTATAAACAGACTACGTAAACTTATGATATACAATACGGTACTGTAAATGTATTTTTCCTAATAACGTTTTCTCTTCTCTAGCTTACTTTAAGATTACATAATACATATAACATACAAAATATGTGTTAATTGACTATTTATAGTATCAATAAAGTTTCCAGTCAAGGGTAGGCTATAAGTAGTTGAGTTTTATGTGCAAATTTTTGACTTCTGGGAGGCTGGTGTT